AGCCCAGTTCTGACACACATCTGTTAACAGTTTTCACAGACATCTCTGAGATAAGATGTGGGTTCTTTTCTTTCAATTCTCTAGCAGTTATCTAGGTGTACTCTCTAACTACTTCTTTAACACAGTTAAGGTACGAACAGATGTCTTCTTCGAGGGGCCAGTCCGACGCTGCCAGCAACCTTGAAATGCTGCACCCAGTTCCTCACTGAACGTTCACACACACCAACACACTCTACAGTTTCTTTCGTCTGTTGCCCAGATTTGTAAAGCCCTATGATATGAACTATAGTTCAAGGTGTTAAAGACTTCATTTTGCCCATAATCAAATATGTATAGCCTAAAACCAAAGGTAACACAGGACAAAAGATGGGGTGGATGAGAGACGAAAGTGAAACACTTCCTTTCACCACGGCAGCCACGTGAGCACTGATGAGTCACTGTGGAGAGGGGTAGCAGGCCGTGGCGTCATGCTAACGGCTGCTACCAGCCATAATGCATTGACGAAAAAAGATCCCCTTGTACTGTAGGCCTTTGATTTTTGTCATGGCATTATGCCGGGGCGCTCATCCGGCATAGTGCCATGACTAGCACTGTAAACATAAGAACATAAGAAAGAAGGAACAGGCAGGTCTACTGGTCCATGCTAGGCAGGTCCATGTCAACCCCCAGTTTAGACCAATGACCCACCTATTCAGGTCACATCCACTTTAGGAAGAAGCACGGCATCAGACCTATTAGCACAAGCTAGTCAGGTCCTGTCTTGGCTAGATGTTTTTAGCACAGTATTTACATCCCCTTTATTTATTTCTATTTTTCCTAATTCGCCTTTCTAGACAGTGCAGATTCAGGGCCCTCAGTCTGTCTTCATAGGGAAGATTTCTGATACATGGGATCATCTTTGTCATCCTCCTCTGTACATTTTCCAGAGCATTTATATCCATTCTGTAATACGGTGACGAGAACTGTGCAGCATAGTCTAAATGAGGCCTAACCAAGGATGTATAGAGTTGAAGAACAACTTGAGAATTTCTATTATTTATGCTTCTTGATATGAAGCCAAGGATTCTGTTAGTTTTATTGCGAACACTAATGCACTGCTGTCTTGGTTTTAGATTACTGCTAACCAGAACTTCTAAATCTTTTTCGCAATCAGTAGTATTAAGATCTACATTATTTAGTTTATATGTGGCATGGTTATTATCCTTCCAACATTTAGAACTTCGCATTTGTCTATATTAAACTGTATCTGCTACTTCTCCAACCACTGCATCAGTCTATTCAAATCATCCTGGAGTGCTCTAATGTCCTCAATAGAATGAATTGGACGGCCTATTTTGGTGTCATCAGCAAATTTGCTTATGTCGCTATTTATTCCCTCATCTATGTCGTTTATGAAGATTGTGAACAACAACGGGCCTAACATTGATCCCTGAGGAACACCGCTTGTGACGTGCCTCCATTCTGATTTCTCCCCATTTATGCAAACTCTCTGCCACCTATTTGTCAACCATGCCTCTTCCCAAGAAAAAATTTCTACTCTTATTCCGTGTGCCTTAAGTTTCCTCATTATCCTCTAATGTGGAACTCTATCAAAAGCCTTATGAAATCCATATACACAATATCATATTCATTACCATGATCTACCTCCTCAAATACTTTAGTGAAAAAAGTTAATAAATTCGTAAGGCAGGAACGCCCCTTTGTAAAACTGTATTGAGATTCATTAGTCAATTTATGCCTTTCAAGATGGCTACGAATTGCCTCGGCAATTATTGATTCCATAAATTTTCCTACTATGAAGGTAAGGATTAATGGTCTATAGTTCGAAGCTAAGGACCTATCACCTGCCTTGTAATAGGTATTACATTTACCATTTTCCAGTTGTCTGGCACTATGCCGGTTTGTAGTGATATGTTGAAAAGATTAGCCAAAGTTTGCTAAGTTCCTCTTTACATTCCTTTGAAACCCTTGGAAACAATTCATCAGGGCCTGGGGATTTGTTTGGATTTAATTTCTCTATTTATCTGAGGACCATGTCACTAGTTACCCCAGTAGTGCATAGTTTATTATCGTCCTGTTCTACATAATTATTTCTGGAATTTCGCTAATATCTTCCTGAGTAAAAACTGAGAGGAAGTATTTCCTTAACACTGTCAGTGATCTAACATGAGTTACTCTTAAGTGGGTCTATCGTGTCCCTAATCTTACTTCTGTATACCTCAAAAGAACCCTTTCGAGTAAGTCTTCGAATCCCTTGCGACTTTACCCTCATAATCCCTTTTTGCTATTCTTATTCTTTTTTTTATTTCTCTCTTTAATTGAATATATTGATTTCTTAACTGCCCATCCCTCTTTTGAAACGCCTAAATATGCCTCTCTTTTGACCAATGAGATGTTCATCAATTTGGGATTCCTCCATCTCCTATACCCTCAAAACTCACTCAATTCCAAGTAGCTGTACTGTGAGATCCTCAAGAGGCAAAGGGACTACAACTCAGGTCTTACAAGAAACATAGGTATGGCAGGTAATGTTATAACATATTATAAATACCTGCCCAGAAGTAAGCTAGAACATTCTGTGTAGCTGCGGCCGGGAATAAACCTGCTGCTTTAAGACTGACCTTCAATCCTTCACAGCTCGTCTTATTATAAGTTAGTTAAATAAGGAGGTGTAGACTCAGTCATTCTGAGGGAGGTTTTTAGTTTAGTATCACAGTGTAGTGTACTGTTCATCATTTGCTAATTTTTACCCGACTGTTGCTACTTCTACGATTTCTGTAGTGCTGGATGGAACTGCTGTCTTTCTATAAGGTTTTTATGTGGTAACTTCAGAATGCCTCTTTTAAGCATTTCAAACAGTGAACAATTGTATATCTTAGGAAAAGTTTACTGTTGTTATTGGAATATGCAAATTACAGTTATGTTATATTTCTAACTGAATAACTTTAAAATACCTCGTTTGAATTATTTGAAATTTAAAATTTTGATGTATCTAATGGAAAAGAAAGTATCAGGTTAGCTTTGGGTTATGCTGCTAACTTGTCAAATTTACAACATAATTACATGAATTAAGATTATTAGTTTCTATGCTATAACTGGAGAACACTTGTTATTAGCTTAAAAATTTCAATAGGGTGTAATTTGCTTAAAGAAAGATTCACATTATTATTGGTGTGTTAGTTCCAACTTATCATTTCATTAGAGATAACTTGAGTAAGGATTATTCATTTGGGTTTAAACTCTCATCATAAGAGTATCGTACTGAGTACAATATTCGGTTTCGTTTGGGCTGTGTAGGTGCAAATTAATTTTTTTTATTACCAAATTATGATTTTTATTTTACTGCAATTACATGAGAGTTTCTGTATATTATTATTATTATTATTATTATTATTATTATTATTATTATTATTATTATTATTATTATTGTAATTTTTTTCCAACATACGTAGAATCATTCTTATTTTGGGGAGCCTCTGCAGGTTCCAATTTTAGTAAACTTGCAGTGCATCATGCTGACTCTGATTGAGCAATTAGTTAGGGTCTCAAATGGCTCAAAATGACCTTCAATTACTTAGGAGTTTGCAATTTTTATCATAAACACAGCGAAATTTAAGATAATTGCGCATAAATATTCCTCTACTACAAGATATATTATCAAAAAATACCATACCACTTCCCCTAACATCGGGAAAAAATAATTCATAGGCGTATTAGGCTGGGATTTTGGGTACTAGCAGCGCCCTCTTTTCAAACTCCTGGATTTCAAAATTTAACTGATCATTTCCAAACTCAAAAACAAGTTTGCTATATAGAAAAGGTCTTCACCATATGTTAGTGACTCATATAGTAAGTTTTATTTTATGGTACGCTCCATATAGAAAATATATGGACATCAAGGCAGGCAAAACAACTCAGAGTAAATTTCTTCCGCCAAGAAGAATTGTACCATCAATTCGCCTATGTCAAGTTCAGTCTGTTCGTATCTTTGACTAGACTAGACTAACTCTTCATAATTTCCATTTCGCCTAACGTATTATTTTTTTAACGATATTTGAGTTGTAAAAATGGTAGAAAACCCGACAAAATGTTAGGTAAATGGACACAATTGCAAATAATGTGGCATTTTATTGTAGTAACCTCTCACTCTCCAAGAGCGTTACAAAGGGTTGACATAGCTCCTGAAGATAGAAACATTGCCACAATAAAAATGTCACATTAGTTGGATCTGTGTCCAATTACCAGACGATGTTTGAGTGAGATGTGTTCCAACTCTTGGTCTTCTTGAAGGCGTTTCTCTACAGTTCCTGAGCCTTTTAAGTGGGTGGTGTTCACAAGCTCCTCTGCCTATTGAGATTATTATTATTAAAGATTCGCCGGTATTCTCCCGGCCTGGGCCTTTTCCAAGTGGTGGCCCGACCTTGGCTCCCTCTTTAGGGAGTGTCTGAGACCTAAGTCTCCCATGGGAGGAGGCACAAGTACCTCCTCATCTTTGGGACCAACTGTCCCCAGGCCTAGCCACAAGCTAGGCCTCTCTGGTCTGCCATCCCCGCCCCAAGGGGGCTAATGGGAATGACAGTCTTATGAGCTAAAGGCTCGGGCTCAGGCACCTACCCTACCCTAGAAGGGTTAGGCATGATGTCGATGTCCTATTGAGAATTTTGAGGAACATCTTCCTGTGGTTGTTTTGAATTAACTTTACGGCACTGGCAGCAAATGTTAAACATACTTATTATTATTATTATTATTATTGTTATTATTATTATTATTATTATTATTATTATTATTATTATTATTATTATTATTTTTCAAATTATTATTATTTTTATTATTGTATTATCATCATTATCACTAGTAGTAGTAGTAAGAAATTTTGATAATTGGTGTTAATAATAAACATTAATAATATTACTTTACCTCATTACAAATAGAAAACAATAATTTGAAACGTTAATTAAATATAGAGAATTTATTCAAAAACAGCCAAAATTTTCTCACAGTTTAAAGGTTTGGAACCCGGAAAGACGTACGATGCAGAAGCCTTTTGTTGCAACGCGAAGTTCTGTGGCAAGAAACTGACACAGCAAGTTGCTACTAGTCCATTAAAACCAGAAATTGCAAGTTCTCCAGTTGTTGTAAAGAAGACAAAAACTACTATCACTATCAGGATGCCTTTCTTGATCACTCATGGTGATGGTCAGAGGTGAGTCTTCTGTAATGATCAGTTTTGCAAGAGTAAATGCTGTGTTTTGTAGTTATTAAGGGTAGCAACAGGAACATCTCTCTCATCTGATAATGAGAACTAGACACAAATTCTCCTTCTCACATGATATACGTAGCTGTGGTGTCGTGAGCTCTATCACTGTGTCTTCGTTTGTCTCGTTATATACGATAACAGTTCAACCAACCTGCTTTTAGTACACGATGTGTATGTGTGTATGTATGTATTCCTCTGCGTCTGCTCAAGAGTTAGGTGAGATAGATGAACGATAAACCTCTTAATCTGTATAAACTATAGATGTTTCCATTTAGTTTTAAATGAGTCTGCCGTTGACCGTTTTCTTAATATTATCGAATTTTCTGTAGACAATTGGTAGATACATCTACATTCAGAAAATAAAATCTTGTATATCGTATCGAAGTCTGACCGAATTTTTGATAACTGTCGTACCAACAATGTTATGTTCACTAGATCATTACTGCATTATCAGTGCCTATGGGCTGGCTGTCTCCTAATACTTTAATACACAGTCCTTACTTTCCTGGTACTTGGCATTGGTCTAACTGACGCAACTGGTCTAACTGACGCAACTGGTCTGCCTGACGCAACTGGTCTGCCTGGAATTTCCTACCTCATTCGACCTATAAACGTTCCACTGAACTTTTCTGTTTGAACTTTCAACTCATTTCTGCAACACTGAAAGCTCCTGATAATGTTTAGATTGCTAAATGAACGATAGCTAAAACTATCATTCAACTTCCCATTGTGGAAAATACTGTATATATTTTCCGGAAATACGGTAATTTATAGGTAAATAGATGCCCTATATTGTATTTTTAAAAGAAGTATATTATCGAAAATGGGAAACCTGCAGCTGGGGAGGTTAGTCGCCATTTTGTTAGAATTGAATAACAGACGTTGTGAATAATGGGAAGAATTTTTCGTGCTCTAGAGGTTAAAATTGGGCTGACACCTCTCAAATAGGAGGCAAAATTGTTGGATGTGCATTCCTGCATAACTTGAGATATCAGGCGACTGGACAAGACAGCTCCAGGAACCTCAGATAAGTCTGTTATGTTATAGAGTGGCCAGTTGTTATTTTCATGTATAGACAGAGGTTTTCTGAGTATGATACACCTTGATTCACGTTAAATTTGGTGAGTGATTTTTAAGATATTCCCCTTTTGTTATGTATATGTGTACTATATTCATTTTTTTTTTTTAAATGCAGTCCACAAATTTATATATTTCCGCTTCCTGGTGTACATATTCTTTGGTAATTAATGGTCCAGAGCAACCTGTGGATATGACAGGGGTAGGTATCAAAGGGGGACTTTTTTTTGGACCTAGGGTCCCAAATTCCCTTTTTGTCAAAATGAAAAAAAATTTTTATTGTGTATATTTTGTTATGTACATTGTACATTCAGATAAATGTAATTTTTCCACTTTTAAATTCGCACGTTGGCCCCTTCTTAAACCCGGGGGTAATTAGTAAAAGTCATTAATTGCTAATTCTTAAAAATTTTGTAAAATGACAGAGGGGTGGATGTTAAGTTCACAAATTTATTAATTGTGTGGTTATTAATTACAATATTAATTTGGATAAGTCAAGTAGGCTAAAGTTATATTAATGGCATAAGTGTTGTGTAATTGAAGAAGTGTAGTAAATTTTAATGTGTATTTAATTTTGCAAAGCCAAGTGGCAAAGTTTATTTAATGTATTTGTATAATTTTAATTTTGATAAGATAATTCGGGCCCAAGATTTATATCAGTGTATGGAAATTGATATGCAAGGTAACTAATATTAATGTGTAAAATTTTAAATTTGTTGCCAAATTCTGGCAAGGATTTATTAATTTGTTTTTTTAAATTTTTGGTAACCCTAGGTGGAAAAGGGTTTTGTATTAAGTCATTTAAATTTTTTAATTACAACTTTTAAATGTAAATTGCTGGTGAAGTAGTAGGTTTATTAAAAGGAAAGTTGTATATTTCCCTTTTTTAAAAAGTGCATAATTTAGTCAAAATCAGTGTTTTAAGTTAAATTTAAACTTGTTCTGGGAAAATGGGGGGAAAATTAATTAGAGCAAACGGGAATATAAAGTAAAGAAAGCACTACAGGCTAGAAAAGTTCAGACCAAGGAAAAAAAATTTTTGGGAAATTTAAATGAACAAGAAATGTGAATACTGATGTTTTTAAAAATTTTTTTAAGTGCTTCAGGTAATAGAAAAAAGATTCTTAAAATTATATTACAACAAATAAAAGGAGATTTGTTAGTAAATGTGTGATGAGATGAAGTAGTCTTATGATTAATCAGATTGTGAATTAGAGGAAAAATTCTTGTAAAAGTCGGGCCCTTGAATAAAATTAAAATTTTTAAAACCAGGCGAAAAACGTTGCTCCAAAAAAAAGATGTCTTTCCCAAAAACCCAAAATTAATGTTTATGTTTTTTTAATCCTGGAAAAAACTGGGTGGAGTTTTGGTAAATTTTTTTAAAGAAAACTGTGCAGGACAGGATTGCCCTAGCCTGTGTAACTAATTATTTTACTCAAAGGCAGGAAAAGAGGAGATGCTACTACTATACAACCCTTTCCCCCAAATGTAGATGATTTTTACAAAGAAGCAGTTGATTTGTTGAAGGTCATTAGGGTATATGAAAAAGTGGGTTGGATCTAGTGAATGTCATTTTTAAATTTTAAAATCCCCAGATCACATTTACAAAGGTTTACAGCGTTTAGAGTTAAACTGGGAGCACTTTCAAAACTTTAAAGTAAAAAAACATAATCTGAAGGATCAGATGGTTATTGGGGCCCCATTGTACGAAAAAATTCAGCTTTTAAAACATTTGAATGACTCTCGAACAGTATCCCAAGAGTTTTTTGGTCTGGGGGAAAAAAGATGGTCTAAAGAATTAATTGTTCAGTTCAAAAGCAAACAAACTTTTTAAAAAGATGAACATATAATAATTGGGGTATTGTCAAGTTTCAAAAGGGGGAAAAAAAAAATCCCAATGGTAATAATCAAAATTTTTTTTCCTAAAAATAGTTCATAGGTGCATAAAAGTAGCAAGAATCAGAAATAATGTTTTCCCCAAAAAGGTAAGAAGAAAAAGTACCCTCCTAAGGTAGCCCATTAAATAAAAAACCCTCAAAGAAAAGAGAGATTTTCTTCGAAAAGGGTATCATTTTTTAAGAATTGCATGTAAAAATTCTGGAATGAAAAGTTGAAAGTTTGGGGGAATTGACAGATGTTGGGTTTAGGTAATCACAGTGTAAAGGATGTCTGAAAAATTTAAACTTTGTTATCAAGGCCAAAAGGAAGACCCCATATAGTCATGTGGAGGTTATTGATAATGTTGAAAAAATGTTTTTTGGCAACCCTGAAAAAACAGTGGCTAAGAAAAAATTGCTGAATTTTGTTAAAAATGGTTATGCTGAAGTAGCCTTACCGTGTTACAGGAAAAAATGATGATAAAGCATAAATCAAAAAAATGTAATGCTTTATTAGACCAGGATCCCAACGTATTTTCATTAAACGTAAATGTTTGATGGTAGAAAGACGATGGGAGATCCCAACTCTAAAATTATTGGTTTTCTCTCGATAAAAAAAGCTCAATTGTATGAAATGTTTAGTAATGTCGGTTGGGGAATGGAAAAAAAAGTGTTAATGCGTAAATTTTAGATAGACTTCCAGAGAAAATATTTAAAAAAGGGCTTAGTAAAGTCAGAAAGACTTTCACATAATGTAAATTTACTCCTTGTGGTTAAGTGATGATTTGTAGGCCCCAAAATATTTTGATAGGTAGGACTATTTGCCTCCTTTGTAAAGGGTATGGTAAAGAAAAAAGTGGTGTCACCCTTTTTAAGACTGAGGGGGCCATGTAATGTATGGTAGGATTCCCCGTAATAATAATTCATGACTAGAGGAAAATACAAATACCAAACTGTGTGTCTTTTATGAAAGTCGTTTGCCCCCGTTAATTCTTCCTAGAGGATGGTGTTGAGCGGCTAAATGTGGGGGAAATTTCCACATTGGAATAAAAGTAAAGAAGAAGAGACGATTTTTTTCAGGGCAATACCGAGAAATGTAAAAAATTTAATCTGGACAAAACTGGGTCGACTTCCGTGGGATGAACCATCCAGAATTACCAATAATTAAGAATGGCATATGGACAATTAAAAAACTCAGCTCCCCGAACTGGTAAGACACCGAAAAGTTAAATGCCTAAATGATATAATTGCGGAATAATTAATAAATTTTTAGAAGAGGTACCCCCTGAGCAAGCCAAAATTTATGGTCACTATTTTCCACATCAGGGGTGAAAAAGGGAAATTTTAAAACCACTCTTTTGGGGTTGTGTTTAATTTTGTGCCCGGAGTAACAAAAATGTACCTAGTTTAAAAGACTGTTTGATGACAGGTTCGTCGTTTACGGAAAAATTAGGAGTTTATCTTATTGAATTTGAGTGAATATATGCCTTTACGGTGACATAAATAAAAATTTCCCAAGAGTGGGTTTACAAGGTGCCGGGATTTACCCCCCTTCTTATGGCCTGAAATCTAGTGGCCCCCTTAGCCCCCTGAAAACCTTTTGCTTTAGGAGCGTATTATTTTGGGGCTACATCCGTCCGTTCCCACTTCAAGCGACGATAAATGCACACCTTAAACGTATGGAAAAATCCCTTGAGTAAAGTGAAAAGCAAACAATTTTTTGGGACAATTTTTTGGGTGTGGAAACAACTGAGAGGAAGTTAATGACTTAGGAGAGGCTAATAAATAATGCAAAGTGCAAATATGCCTTGAGGGAAATTTATAGTAAATTTTCCCAAAATTTAAAAAAAACAAAATAAGTAAAGATTTCCTGGAGAGGAAATGCCAAAAGTAGTAAGTATTGGGATTAACTTGGGATATGGGAGAGATTTGTTAAAGTTAATACTAATAAATTACAGTATGCCAAAAAATTAATAAAAGAGTTTTTCTTGC